TCTATTAATTTCTTGTTTATAATTTTACAAAATATTGATATAAAATTTTGTATTTATAATTTCTTTAAAACAAAAAAAAAAAAGTTTTTCCTTTTATACAAAGTTCTTCCCATGTAAAGATTTTAGTATAATCTTTAGATATTCTTCTAACTGGTTTTATATTTTTATACCACTGAATAATTGTGTTTTTAAATAGTTGAAATACTGTTTTATCAAAAAATAAGGTTTTTTTCTAATTGTTATTAAAATATTTTCTTATCCAAGTTATATAAGCTTCTTATAAGTAATAATAAGCATAGATTTCTTCAAAGATAAGTTATTTTTATAGCCTATTTTTATCAGATGTCTTGAAATAGTTGAATATGATACTTTAGTATTAATATTTGATAATTTAATTATCAAAATTTTTATAGAAAGTCTTGGATTATAACATAAATATTAATCAATTGTTTTTAATACATAAGAAATAATCTTTTTAGGATGACCTCCACTTGGTTTTTTTGAATTATCATCTTTAGAGTTTAATTTTTTAAGATTATAATAGATTGTTAATATATTTATATCAATTCTAAAATATATTTTATTTGCAAAAGTAATTCCATTATTCTACAAATATAATATAGTTTGTCATTATATATTTTTTTCTGAAGATGACATTATAAGAGTTTGTTTATAAAAAAGATAATAATAAATTGAAGTTTTAAGGATATATTGTATATATATTTGTTAGAATATATTATTTATATATTTAAAATTTCATATAAATTGCTTTTGTTTTAAAAAAGTTATTTATATTTATATCACATAAATAAATTTTCAAAAAGTTTTACAATGCACTATATATAATAATAATATATAAGCCTGCCAAAATATTTATTTCAATTAAATTATAAGAATTAGAAAATTTATTAATAAAGAATTATTAAATTAATATTAAGATTTAAAAATAATTTTATTAAAGAAATTAGAAAGAAAATAAAGGTCAAATAAGATAATTATAAAGGTAAAGAAAATTGAAGTAATGTCTTTTTTGTCCAGAAGAGTGAAATAACCATTCTTATATATAGTTTGAAGTTGTATAATTATTCTTTGCTTGTATATTAAAGATATTTATTTACAAATATATATTTTGTTTCAGAATTAAAATTCCTAAATTATTAATGATTCTATTATATAAAGAATTTTGGTAACTATAAGTAACTATGTTCTCTATATGATTTCATCTATAATTTAATAAAATAACTTTAACTATTCAATTACTAAAATAAAGAGATATTGTGTCTCCAAGTTTGTTTACCATATAAAATCTATAGAAATTTAAAGAATTTATACAAATTCATGAGTTAATCATGTGGTCACATAATCTCTGATGTCTATTTTCTTGAATTATAACATTATTCCTTCCTATAAATAATATTTCAATAATATTTGTATAAAATAATAGTAAAATAATATTAAAAAAAGATAAAATAATAATATAAAAATATATAAAATAATATAATATTATAGAATTTAATTATTTTATGACAATATTATAAAACTCAATAAAACAAAATTGATTCAAGAAAATCACAAATTTGTATTTAAATAAAATCTTAACAAATATAAATATTTTTCAAATATTAAAACAATTAACTAGACTTCTAATAATATTATTTCAATATTATTTCAATATTAGTTTGATACTATAAATTTATATAAGTAAAATACAACATATATATTAAATTTACTATATATTGGTACTATTTTAATATTACTTTGATACTAGTTTAATATTTTTTGGAATCTTACAATTAATTTTAAAAGAGTTAATATAATACTTCTAATTAGAAAAAACTTGGAAAATATATAGTACAAGTAAAAAGATTATATAGTTTTTTAATTATAATTAGTTTTTAAGTAAAAAAACATAAAACTTGAATTATACAAATCTATCTATTTAATAATAAACAAAAAGTTTAAAAATTTAGAAGGAAATTTATATTATAATATAAATCAAAATTCATTAATAATATCAAATTATAATTATAGAAGACTTTAATACAATAATAAATTTAAAGCTTAATTAGAAAAACATTATATCTAACAACAATAATTTTTTACCTTCAAATAATCTAGAGATAACTTTTATTATTATTTTTTATATCTAAATTTTAGATTTTTTTATCAATTATAAGAAAATAATAAAACAATATACATTTAAAAAAACTATAAAAGTTTAAGTAAAATTAGCTATATTTAGAAGCAAATAAATTTTTCATAATAAAATTTTAATTTTAATTCAATAAAAAAGATTTATATTAATTTTAAAATAAAAATTTTTTATTATAAAAATTTTATTTACTTCTAAATAAACATTAATAGATTTAATATATATTAAGTTAAAGATATAAATAAAATTATTTTTATTATATTGAATTATTAAATAAAAAAAAATATTTTAATTATAACAAAAATTCGATTTAAAAATTTGTATAAAACTTGGTTAACTATTTTAAAAAAACTTTTATTTATTTATTATCTTTTATATTTAAATAATAATTTAATATTAATTAGTTATAAATTTTAAATTAAAATATAAAAAAAAGTTGTTATTTAAAAAATTTTAAAAAAAATTTTTTTTACAATTATATTTAAAAAGATTTAAACTTATAAACAAGTATTATAAGATTTTACATAGTTAAGTCTTAATATAATTATTAAATAATTTATTATACTATATATTTTATTAAGATTAATGATATGTTAATATACAGACTAATTAAAAGTAAAAAAAAAAAATTAGTATAAATTTATAAATTTATATATAAAATTAATCTAAAAATTATTAAATATAATTGAAAATATTTAAATCAAATTTATTTATTTTGTAAATTTATAAATTATCAAATAAAATAATTTTGCTATATATACTGTATATATTTAATATAATTATTATTAAATAACTTGTTCAATAATTTATTTTAATTAATCCATTATTATTATTTAAAATAATTGTTTAAAAATTAAGCCATGATTTTTCTAAATAATTCATTTTTAATTGATATGTTAAATAAATGTAAGGAAAATGAAAATTAAAAACAATGATGTTATAAATCATAAAACAAGTTGTTTAACACGATAGAATGAATCCAGTATAAAAAATCTCCAGACAAAAGCCAAAAAGGAAATTCTTGGTGCACCCTATGAAAATATCGAATAAAAATATACATTTTCCAAGTAAAAACAACACAAAAATTAAATTGGATAAAATACAGATGTCAACAAAAATTTTCTTCAAACGGAAGTTAAAAGTTATTCGTTCTCGATATCAATATCGGCATCACCCTCAATATCGGCTTCAACTTCAATACCAGTTTCTTGTTGAAACCTTGTGATCGCTTCATTTGTCACGTTGCGACATTCAGAAATAACTAACGATCGCAAGGTCCCTACACAGTTTTCCTCAATCAAGGCCAAGACATCAACAGAATCTGAATCAGTTATCATCAAAGTCTGCAATGATTTACAACCTTGCAGTAACACTGTGAATGCGTTGGTCGTAAAATCATAACTACTTATATTTAATAAAACTAGATTTGGACAATTTCGACCAATGCAAATAAGGAAATTCGATGAATCAATTCCAGCCATGTCCTGAGAATCTACTTCCA